ATTTTGGCTTTGTATGTTGCATTCGAATGCCAGGTTTGAGGCACATAGTGCCAAAACAGTATTCATGATCTGGTTTTTCGTGATGCATTCGAATGCCAGCTTTAAGGCACGTAGTGCCGAAATTGTATACTTACCTGGTGTTATCCAAAGGCACAATTTTTATAATATATATCTTTCTATAATAATTATACTTTTGGGTATCACTTTTTTCTATACCTGAATCGTATCTACTTGGTGATATGCAAAAGCACAATTTTTATAATATATATCTTTCTATAATAATTATACTTTTGGCTATCACCGAAAGTATACTATGTTTTGCGGTCCTGGAACACTTTCTCGTATAGTTGATGCTTTTGAGTATCATTTTTCTTGTCAAAAAATCGACCTATGCTTTGTCATTTTACTATTGAAAAATTTATCCTTACTTTTGCGTATCACTTTGGATCAACAAATTGGATCATACTTTGACGCATTACTGGATTAAAAAATTGGATCATACTTTTATGTACTACCGAATCAAAAAATTGGATACCTTTGCGTATTACTTTTACATATTACCATATCAAAAAATTGGATTGAAAATTTTAATCTTACTTTTGGGTATCACTTTTACGTATTAGTATCAAAAAATTAGATCACACTTTTGCGTATCACTTTTCCATATAAAAAATTGGATCATACTTTTGCATATTACTGGAATGAAAATTTTAATCTTACTTTTACTTTTGTGTATCAAAAATTTTGATTACTTTTGCGGATCACCATATCGAAAATTTTAATCTTACTTTGCATACTACTGAATCTAAAAAATCGGATCAATCAGAATCACACGACACAAAAATCCCATGGTACCTTGGTGTTATTTTCCTGCAATTATTTTTCAATTTGAATTTTTTCCCATATTTATTGTAAGAAGTGACAAAAAATCTCCTTACCTGAGATGAATGGTTAGTTAAATATAGAAATCTCCTGCCATAAGTATACTACTAAACTAGATCATTGGTACACTGAATTAATCGGTAAATTTTGAGTTGGTATTGGCAACAGATATCGAGTCAAAGAGTACTTGAATATCATTAGCTGATGATGAAGAGCATTGAACCTCTGGTTCTTCTGGTTTATATGGCGGAAGTATTGGAGTCCCCGCTTTATTGAAACCAGTTCCGCCGTATGGTTCACGATCAATCCAATAAGTACGCTTCCACATTCGCTGATCTTTTGGTCCTGAAAGTTTTGCTTCACTCTTAACAGTATAACCGCACCAATTTCCTACTATTGCATTAATCAATTTTACTGTAGCCTTGAGATCAGGTAATCCTTTAGCTCTGGTCTTAAAACCGAAGAGTAATAATGCATCTTCTCGAATTTTAACGATTTTTTCCCGTGATTGCTCAAAAGTCTTAGCTACATCATCACCAGAAAGAATATTCATATCATCTATATCTCTAAAACCTATTGATTGGACAAGATTATGTACTGCTTCCCATTGTTTTGCTGAATAAAATTTATACAAATCAACTGAGGACGGATCCATAGATTCATGTGAATCTTCCCATTGCATTTCTTCCTTGATTTTTAGATTTTCTATAGAATTTATTGCATTGAAACCTTGTCTTCTGAAATATGCCAGCCTCCTAAAATATTGTAAAGGTTCAGGATTATTATATCTTTTCACGAAATTTATGTCACAAAGCTTAACCCAATCATCATTATTCATACCCCAATTTCGAATATCATCTTTACCTCCGATATCGCCTGAAGCATATGTTCTCCATAAATAATGGCGTTGTAAAGTCATGTTATCAGCAAAAGAGCGCATAAGGTTTTGTTTAAGAATCTCAGCTTCATCGGGACTAATATCTGGAGCACTGGCTATTGATTCTGCATCTGCACCTTTAATTTTTTTCTCAACATTCTTAATAGTATGAGAAACTTTATTCCTGTTGACTTTTTCGGTATCTTTTGCTGAAATTAATTCAAGTGTTGCACCAGTACTAGCGATAAGACTGCAAAGGATTTCGGGAAAATATTTGGCTGATAAGCGTCTCCGATATTCGACCTCAATATAAGTTTCTACTGCTGGTGACGAGTCAAGAGTATAACAACCAGCAATTTTGTCCCATTCACGATGACCTTTTATAGCAGTTGGCGAGTCTCCAGGTCTCAAGGCAGAAAGTTCAGCACGAATGAGATCACGATTTGGTTCTTTAAAAATGCCAGGTTTTTTACTATTATAAAGAGAAATAATACGATATGGACAGTCTCGAACTCGATAAAGCATTTGTGCAAAAGCTTCAACGTGCACTCCTGTATTGATATTACTAATTGCTATAATTGCATCGAAATGATTAGGAATTTCAAAAGAGATGCCAGCTTCCACAGTGCTTGTATATATTACGCAATCAAGGCCACTCCATGTAGCATTAATATCAGCAAAGTCCTCTTGGCGTTGTTTTCCATCCATTTGACCAAAATAAACGCGAGACAAAACGAATGAACCATCAGGTTTTTGCAACTTAGATGTTTGATCGGCTAAGGCCCGAGCCTTTTTGCAGGAGGTCATTGAAAAGACAACTCTCTTACCTTCTTGAAGCATCTTAAGGCCTCTACGTATAGCCTCCGATCCTTTGTCTGGGTCATAAAGAATTTTTACAGATTCACCTTCGCGTGGCCGATATTTATTATCAAAAATTCGTATATTTTCGCCTCGATATTGTTTTAAGAAGGCCAAAGTCGATTCATTTGCAAAAGCATCCATTGCCACAACATGGACAGCTGACTTCAACAAATCTCGCATGGCATTTTCAGATTCTCGTGCATGAATTCCACTAGACATTTGACGCATAATAGCATTCACTTCATCCAAAATAACTACATAAGAACGACCTCCAAAAAGTGAAAGACGATGTGTACTTTCGACCTGAACAATAATAACATCCCAATCACGTATTGGTAAATCACCACTATTTTCCTGGTAATGACACACACGAAGTCCTGAATTTTGCAATACTTCAACTTTAGCTTTAGTTTCATTACTAAGAGTTTTTCGATATGAATCCCAGATAAAGCAAGGTAAATTCGCTTTACTTTTGGCTAAAGAATCAATAATCTCTCTTAAGGTTTTTGTTTTTCCTGTAGCAACAGGTGAACGAATTAAGGTTGTAGTGGGATCCACACTCAAGAAATCCGGATAAGCCTCTGGGGCATCTTCCATCTCTTTAACGTTAATATTTTTTCCGGATAAATCTACAAGTGGGCGTGGATGCTTTACGATATTAATTAGTCTTTCGTTCAATCCCCATTTAGGTCTTGGTAGATTATTGGTTACCTCGCCAAATACCAATCCCTTGTGATCTGGCTTATGTTGTTTTTGTCGAAAACATTTGAGTATAAAACGCCCGTCTTTTAGAAGAAATCCGTATAATTGATCTTTTTCATGTGTAATCTCACATATAGGACATCCTTTAGGTAATTGTGCTTGAAAGTTAATTAATCCTTTTCCAATTTTTCCAATCTCGAGCCATCTGTATTTTGCAATTACATTATTGGCTCCTTTAACCAAAGCACTTTCATCTTCGATAGGTTGAAATTTCTCTGCTGGCTTCTCAGAAGAAAAGGTTCGTGGCCAGATTACAGAATAATACGATTTTGGTTGAACCAAATAATTCTCTAGCTTGTGTAATCTATTTTTGACTGAAGAGATCGTGGGTCTTTTTATACGTCCTTCTTTTGCAGATCCAAGAAGCCGAAGACTAAAACGAGATTTGGGGAGGCCAACATCTATAAACTTCGAATATGGTTTTCCTACTAATTCGATAACCTTTTCCATAAAACCCTTAAGTTCTCTATAATCTACAAACCGAGCATAAGGATAAATAATATGCCAGCTACATTTATCAATATTTGACGAACTAGCTAGAGCAAAATGATCTAAAGTTGGCATACACTCCGGTATAAGATATAATGCATCTGCACATGCAATTAATATTCTAGACATCAAATCTTCACGAGTAATTTTTTCACTATCTAAAGAAGGAAGTTCAGGATTTAAGGGATCCGGTTTTTGCCTTGCATCAATGTCAAGTATTGGACGAAGGGGCTGATTTCCATCAATACATTCATGTGAATCAGGAAATCCATAAATTTCAGAAGGATGATCGATTAATGTAAAGCCTTTTCCTGCCACCCGGATTATATATCGAGAATAAATCTCTTCAGGTTGGTATGCCTCTAAAAGTGCTGTGTCATTTTTATCATTGGATTCAAGCAAATATTTATAACACATATGTTTTCCATGGCCAGGTTCATAATTAAGATCGGTTAAACCAGAGAGGAGTTTCTTTGCCTCGCCATATTCAGCCAATTTTTGACTTTGGTGCTGTTGTTGTAACGATTCATATAGAAGTTTTTTTTCCTCGTTAGACAGTCTCATTTTATTGATTGTATATATGTGTTGATTGTATATGCGCGTTGCTTGATCTGACAAAAAGTATATGTAGTATTATTTTGAAACTATATTAATCGATAGATAAATCTTTAAAATAAAATTAATTATTATATATAGTAATGATGATATTATACCATTGCTCATATATTAATAGAACTGGAAAATTCTGTGGTCGGGGTAGTAAATCAGAAAGATGTTATCTTCATCGTAAATCTCCAGTATATACTCCTTGTAGAGATTGTGGTGAGCTAAATAGGTCTAAATATAATGCATGCGATAAACATGTAGGCAAATATAAAAGTAGAGAGAATTACCATCAAAAAAAGCAGGCTGAATTACATGTAAAGATTGATGTACTTAAGAATCGTATACCGGACTTGCCAGGTTCTGGGTACGACCTATAGTCTAGGTTTATTACTTTTTCATCCATGGATAAGGCAGTCATATCTCCTGAGATCTATAAATGAAGGGTCGGGTAATTAATTTCGAATTTGAAAGAATAAGTAGGTCAATAGATAATCACGATCTAATTGTCAAATATATTATCAATATGACTGTGGCAACTGCCTCAAAAACCCGAAAGCCCAAAACTAATAACTTTACCTCGATTTTGGACCTGTTCTTAGAAAAATATAACTTGTCCGCTGAATCTAATCCATCACAATTACGTGTATATGCTAGTGAACTTGGTGACATGTTACCAGATTGGAAAGCTCGCAAAAGTGTGAAAGAAGCTCTTCGCCGACGCTTATTCAAAGAAGACCAGATCAAGGCTCTTGTACTGGATAAAAGGAATGAAAAACTTACTATCAAAGAGAGAGCTCAATACTGTGCGAAATCTGGAGATCCATATGATATTTACTTACATGCTTTAGATTTAATCAAGACAAAAAATGACAGTGATGAAGAAATTGTCGCATCCAGCTCACGTCTTACATTATTTCGTAAGGAATTGAAAGAAGCTGGAGTTGATTCTAAACTAATTGATAAATATGCTAAATTTTCAGATCTTACTCAAGCATCTAACGAAATTCAGAAGAAGCAACTTGTACAGCGATTACCTAATTCGCCAAAAACCCCTAAACACTTCTCCTTAGAGGTGGGACTTAGAAGAATCCAAAATATTAATACTACTAAAATTCCAACTATGCAGGATCTCGCCGATGTGATTATGATGTTGAGTATGAGACCCACTGAAGTTACTACTCTTCATATTATCCATTGTGAACCCAATGAATCAGACCCTCCGGAATGGTACAAACCCGGTTATTATTGGTATTGTACAGGATATGCTAAGAATAAGGGAGAAAAGAAGGTTGATCCTGAGCCTCGACAATTCCTTTCCATGGAAAAGAATCCAGAACGTGCAAGAGAATTGCTTACTTGGATTCAAGATGCCATAGCAACCAGAAAGTTACATGATCCTGTATATAGTGATAATGGAAAACGCAATATTAGAGCATTTAGCAAATTTTTAAATGCATATGGTATTACTGCCAAAAGATTGAGAAAAATAGGGAGTAAACATGCTTCTAGAGTTCATGGTAGTCAAAATCCAACGGCCCAACATCTTAGTTTACTTTGTAGAATTGCAATGAGACATAAGATCGACCGTTTTGATTCTGGAACTTATTATGCTGAGGGTGACATTTCTCCTGATTCCTGATACTAATACTGAACCCGAACCTAAATCTCAGCCTAAGAATTATAATCCTTTCGATGCCCAAATCGCAGAAATAGATTCAATGTTAGCAGAAATGTGATGCAATCCAACTTGGAATCAAAAAGACCTATAAAGCTATTATATCAGGACTTACTGATATCGGCAAATTTTTTCTTGATTACTCATCATGGATTGTGGGTAATAGTAGATATAATGGAAATAGATAAATAATCATTAGTTATTTTTTTCAGCTAGAGATATTTCCGAATTGGCAATCAGAACGAGCTGTAATCAAGAATATAAGCAAACCCAGATGCAAAGATCCTCGGTACCGAAATCCTCAGAAACCCATTGTGACCGAATATAATTAATAGTTTCTTCTTTGGTAGATTTTCATGTCTCTATTTGTGTTTTATGCTAAAAAAAAAAGTGATTAATGTTAACATCAACCAGAAATATGAATTCCGCCTATGCCAATTTTGCTAAGGTGGATATACACAAATCACTTCTCATCTAATAGCTCAGCGGTATAGTGGGTAGCTTGTCGGATCTACCTCTCCTCGCTAAAAGATAATGATAATCTGGCAACCACACCCTTAATAAAAAAAAGCTTTGCGAGGGAGGGTTCAATCGGCCCCTAGACCTGCCTCGAAAGGCGATGACTGCCCCTATACTTCAAGCTTTGTTTTTATATGCCAAGAAATCTGAAATTTCAGCCACCCCATTACTCACTTTTGTCGGGTCGCCCATAAAGGACCTGATTATGCAGAGGGATTAACCCACAAATGCATTTTAATCTAATGTTGTGTATTATTATATGATCACTGGATCTTCTCTTTTTTTACGAATAAATAAGATGTATTGTTGTTGTATATAAACGATTAAGCTTTTTTTTTGACGTCAATCCAGGAAGAGAGATGGTAAAGATATTTCCGGTGGTATTAAATGTGTTTCATATTCTTCCGCTATAATAAATATTGTAGTATAGAATATGCGTAGCACAGGCACATAGTGCCATATAACCAAAAAGTTGTTATACGATTAGCTCCGCTATTAATACACAGTAAAAAAAACCAGAATTGAAAATTTAATAATTATCTTAGACAGGTCAGTACGCCTATTCTTCCTCATTTTCACAATTCGTGGGTTACGGATAATGGTGCTTCGTAGTAGAGAATAAGTAATTAATTCCGATTTGATTTTTTTCTCGCTCAAAGATATAGTGTATAATAACCAAAATGTTGTTTGTAAATTGCGCAGTCAAAGAAAAATCTCCTATTGAAACTTTAATTGATACCATACCAAAACTATAAAAGATTGCCCGTAGAAAAATAAACATATATTTGGCCCCACAACTGGGTATTAATTATTCCAATAATAAAATGGTTAGTGCAGTCTCATCATCTTGACATGTGTAAAAATATCCGAATGAAAACAAGGGTGTAGATTACGCAAGTTAATTGTTATAATGGATTCTAACTTTATTCCTATTAGATCGATTAATATAATCACAAATCAAAGCTGACTATATTTCATCATTAATTGTTGTTTGAATAAACCTTATTACTGAATAAAAATTTTCTAGCAGGTTCGATGACTTTCTTTATAATGCTACGCATGGATATATCTTTAATGTGAAGACAGTTCTATTGGTAAAAAAAACGTGATATATTTCTTAGTGAGTATTATAAATACGCCTTGAATCCATTTTTCGCCACTCTTTACTTCCTCACTATAATATTCAAAAATTAAAACGAAGTTTAAAAACAGACTTTAAAACGTAATCAAAATAAACAAAATCTAACAAATATTATACATATTCTAATTTTTAATCAAAGGTATGATATTCCGGAATAAAAACATTTATTTACCTAAGCACTGATCATTTTTCTTTTTGACATTGTATAATCCCACATATGTTAATTTGTTTTCTTTTCATAGATGTCTCAAATCAATGTTTCGGACATATTACCTTTATTATCCTTGATCGCCATTCTCACATGGTTTTCTATCAAGAATTATTTTAATGAAAAAAATGCCCATGATGTTGATATCTTAAATGTTATCAAGCGACAAGTTACCGAAGAAATCATCTTATACGATTCTAAACTTGCTGAAGGCATCGCTAAGCTGAACACCGAATTTAACACGCCTCACTTCAGAACTTAATTCACGTGATGCTAACTTCACTGCGGAGGCGCAGAGAATCTTGTCATTGATTAATTCTTTTACCATGAGACTTGGTGAAATTGAACAAGTTCTTGAACGCTACAATAATCACTTTGGTAGAATTTCATCCGAATTTGATTTAATTAATGAATCTATCACAACATTCCAAAACCTATTTAATCAACGTCATGCAATCATCCAAAGAATCGAACAAGATCAGCAAAGTGAAATGAACCTATCTGAAGATTCTTCCAATTCACACAATTCCTCTATTAATTCTTATTCTCCTAATTCCTCTGCTAGTTCTTCAAGCCAGCGATCATTTTCAGGAATTACTATCTGGACTCTCTTTAAACAGATCTTTGATAGGGATATGGCTCAGAGAAGATATTCTTTTGACGAAATGTGTTATTCCGTAGCCATGCGCATTCGTGAACTTGGAGGAGATATTAGGCAATCAACGATCAAAAACTTTTATAATAGAAGTAGTAGTTGTAAATCAAGTACCGTGGACCAAATTGGTTCATGGATAGATAGTATGGAGTAGCGGGAAGGAACTCTCATTTTATGGGTTAGGGCTCGAGTACTTCCTCCCTTTAAACTCGCTACTCTATCATTTTATATTGTATTAGTTTAGTCAATTTCATATAAAAATAATAAAGATACATCTTAATTTTTTAAAATAATAATAAGTTCACATATCTGTATTTTTCGCTCGATTATCGCATCGCCATAAATGAAAGAAGTCCCATTATTTTTACTGCAGAGCAATGCCACTTATGTGCCTGTTGTATACGCTTCAAGCATTTCATTTAGTCCATTGCCCTGATCTTCTGCGATCCACATTTTCAAGTATACTTACCTCCAATAAATTCCCTGACCGTAACTTCTTCGTGAAAATTGGAGGGAAGTCCGTGCTATGTAAGTAGCCTTGCTAGGCAAGAAATATATTTTACACAATCTTTCTTAAACGCGGGTGTGAAATAGTTGAGTGTCTTTTCCATATTTTTTCTAATCGTATAGTAATGTAAAGAAATTCAAATTTGATACTCTATCCGCATAATCAATCAGATAATTAATATGTCATGTGACATCAATGATTATCATCTATATCCCTTAACTTGCCACATTTGATGATAATCTTTTTTTTTCACTCTCATGGATTTCTATAAACTTAATGAGGTAGAAGACTGGACGTGTATAAAAGTTGTAGAGCATTATCGTGCTAATTCAGAACAAAAGGACTGGAAAAAAGTGCTGGATAGTATAAAGAAAGATCTCAAAAAGGTGAAAGAATCAACCTCTGGTTTTGACACGACGCGTAAGAGAAAGGCCCAAAGAATCGTTGACAACTGGAAAGTATGATTTTTCTTAATAAAATAGAGATTCAAACAAGTTAGGGAAAAGCTGTGACTCTTGGTCTACAGTTATGAACTCCTTGTTCTTCCTGAGTGCAAGCTGTGACTCTTGGTCTACAGTGATGAACTCTTCGTTCGACACTCAAGCAAGCGCAAGCTGTGACTCTTGGTCTACAGTGATGAACTCTTTGTTCGACGCTTTCTTTGCTTTATATTTATGTTTATTGTACAATGATTCTTGTGGGTACTACTAATTCTGTATTTTTATTTTATTAAGGATTGGACTGCATCAATGGACAAGATAGATGATCGTGCACAGTTTAAAATTGAGTTTCAGCAGGTGAACTTCTGGCCGAAAGGTTGAAAATTTTACAAGACAAAAAATACTAAGTAACATTTCTGTAATTAGGTAAAACAGCAAGTTCTTGCAACCGGAAATGCTATAACTAATATCACCGACAACTGTTGTATGAAACACCATCAAGATGTGAATAATGATGATGAAGAAATGACAAATACTGGCGTTACGGCTCCATCAAAAAAGGTGAGTTTAAGATTAAAGGACCTTCCTAAATTTGTATATAAACCTTTTGGATGTATGCATAGGTCAAAACTAGTAGAATGACAACTCCGGAACGACAAATATATCCGTCAGAACGAAGTGTAGAAGACTGTTATGAACAATCAGATTCAGTTGAGGGAAAGGAAGATGATGGCCAACCTCTTTTATCAGTAAGTTCTTGATATAAGGTTCGATTGACTTTTGTTTTGCTCATTCCTAATTTGCATTATGGTCTGCCTTCTTAAAGTCAAATGACCACGATGTAGAGATAACACATGAAGATGACGATAATCCTTTCATAGCAAAGACAGGGGAAGGTTCAATGAAGTGTAAGGTTAGTATTAATCGATATTAACATAATCTTTCAAAAATAATAATCACAATTTTGACATTAGTTAATTTGATTCATATTATTCAAGGTCGTCTTATCATGGAACCATGCAATCGTTAATATGGTCATAAATAATATCTCTGAAAATGACGTAAGTATTGTGAGAGACATTCATTTTTTTGGTATCTTTGTCCTGTTATAGTCTAAAACCCATTCTCTTTTATACAGTGGGTAACACAGGATGGGCACAATATCTCTAACGATTTTCGTAACTTTCAGTTAAATTCAATTGAAAAGTTGAAAGCTAATCCGACTTTATCATATGCGAAAGAAATTGATTTGATATTGTAAGTATTTCCTATGCAAAGTTATAGAATTTTGGCTATAAAATTTAACTTCGTATATACTTGCAGGTGTCTATCGTCAATTATGTATTGCAATGAATTTAAACCAGAATATATTAAATGTTCTAAAAAGGTATGGAATGAGGCTCTCCCAAGATCATTAGCCCCAAAGATGTTGTTAACAATTGCTCACTCAGTGATGATCGAATACAATACGGTAAGTATCTTCCTGAATGTTATTAATGAGCAATCAGCAAACGCGTTAATTTGTTTATTGGTGTATTAGCTTTTGAATGACAAACAATCACTTAATGCAAGATGGTGTGAAAATTGGACAAAAGGGAATACATTGCTAACGGACGAGGACAAAGATATCTTTGACTGAGTACAGATAGTTTCGAGAAATTTGTAAGTTCTAAATTTAATAAAAATATTTGTTAATCGTATTATTAGTACTTATTTCTATTTGCCTTGCAGTTTTACCTATTTATCTTCAATGAGTTATAATGAGAATAAAAAATTGGACGAAGATACATTCATCCATCGATACTGTCACCAAGTTCTTGAAGAAATATTCAATAAAACTGAATACTCATTGATTTGGTAAGTTTCATGTAATTATTACAGTATGCTAACTATATTAATATATACTTACATTTTCATTATTAAAACAAAGGGCTAATGGTGAATCTGAAAGTTCTAAAGCAAGATGTTTATTGGATGGTCACAACCATGGCAGAAAACCAGACTTTCGGATCCTCTCAAAGATCGATGACACCGACAAAGAACTTATATTTGGCGAAATAAAGCCACCACATTGTACTGATACCATAAATAAAAGCATAATAAAATTAGCAGAGTTCATGAAAGGGTCTTTAGACTTTATTATTAGTATGTACGGCTATGTGGTTGGTCTGGAAACATATGGTATATTAATTTGTGGTAAGCCATCACTATTATAACTTTGCTGACGTTTAGTTACCAAGCTAATTAAATATAAAATCAATAGGGAACGAAATTAAAATTTTTAGCATGGATTTGGCATACGATGGTCTATACCGTTGTAATCAATTATCGAAAGTATTGCTCCCAACGGAGAATGCGAATTTTTTAAACATCATCACTGTAGTATCTACTCTATATTCATTATTGGTAAGTTTTACTTCGTTGTCATTAAACAAGTTGCTCCATAGTATATTCTCTAATTATTTTATTTATATAGGAAAGGGTAAAACATACTATTATTACTCTAAATTCATATCAGCCGTTAACTCAATCATCATTTTCCCATAACTTTTGCCGAAAGTCAAACTCATCACCTAAAAAAATGCGTGTACCAGTAGTTAGAGTTTAGATTATAGATTATTATATCATATATATAATTATGAATACTTTGCATGTGTATTTCTGGAATCTTTTCTAATGCTTTGATATCGATGCCACATATGATTGAGAATTTTATCTAAATTTTTTTACGGAGTAAAGCTTATATAGCACGTATCTCTGATGATGTTTTTTTTGTTTATGCTAATAAACGTACTTTTGAATAATTAATATTTTATGTAAAAACAAACTTCTTAAAAGTGACTCTAAAAGTCATGGCAAATACACAATCTAAAATTGATTTATTAAAAGAAGAGAATTCCAAGCTTATAGCTGAGATTACTGAACTTAAGAAGGAGAATGTTAAAGTCAATGCTGAAAATATTGTGATTAAAGCCGAGAATGCAAAATTAAGACAAGCTTTAGAAGGACATGAAACCAGAATCACGAAACTAGAACAGGGAGAAAAAGAAAAAAGTGTTACTAATGCACGAAGTGCACTTTCTACGAAAGATGTTTCGCAATCTCCAGTAAACTTTAATGATACTTCTGAACAGATAATCTTACGAAGTGAGGATGTTCTGGCATCTGATATATCTAATAACGCTTCAAATTCTGATGTACGTCAGAAATCTTCAACTCGATGCTATACATCACCTATCTGCACAGAGCCTAAATCGTTGGAAGATAAGGAGGTTGATGAATTCCTGGATTCAGTGAATAAAGAAAAGGTTAGTAACGAAATAAGAGAAAGAAATCGGGAAAAGAAGCTTCTACGTGAATCTGCAATAAATCAAGACTTGACTTCGGATAACATTTTATCAAAGCTATCCAATTTATCATGTAACACAAGAACCGTTCCCTCGGGGAACGATCAAATTCATGCAATTTCAGAAGAGCCAGATTTTCCGAAAACTGAAATGCCTGAATTGGAGCACGGTGATGAGGTTGATAAAAATCAAATCGTAGAACAGGGCTTAATAGAAGAACTGTGTTCATCTACTGAGATTGCTTCCGCAATAGAGAATACTAGCTCTACCGAAACTAGCATCTCATGTGATAAATCAGAATACACAATTTTAGGTGAGTCAGAAACTCGAAGCTCTGCATCTTCCGCTCAACATCTTTCTTGTTTATTTAAAACGGCAATCAAATCTCATCAACAAGAAATCTTAAACTGGTATTATTATTCTCTTGAATTCAAAAAAAAGGTTCATGCTATTACAGCTGATGGTAAGATCAAAGATAAAACAGCAAGAACAATGATTTATAAAGAAATGAAACTGTTTCTTCCTAATATCACTCAAGATAACTTGCGTAAAAAAACCCTTAGAGCTAGAAAACTTCTCATATTATTCGGAACAAATGGAGTTGGAATAGATGAAATTAAACAAATTACATATAGTGCAAATGAGATTTCAAAACTAACTAATGCTCAAATTCAGAATATTATAAATCAGGTAACTTCACAAACCATTCCCTCGGGGAATGATCAAAGTCATGTGACTTCAAAATGCCACGATCAGATTAATGTAGAGGTAAGTATATCTAATGAATCGATTTCAAAGGAACCATCTCAAGTTTTCGCTGATTCAGAAAAATTACCAGAAACCGAGGTAAGTGTGTCATATAATCCGACCCATGATTGTGTTTATTTGCGTAATAAAATATTAGAACAATATCCTAATTTATATCGAGAATTTAGTAGTGAAAATGTCGATTATTATGGAATTACTGATGAGACATTATGCCCATTATGCGAGTTAAATCATGAGGAAGGTGTAGAAGGCATATATGAAACTGGGTCTTATTATATTAAATGCGAGCAACGTGAAATTGAAATAACTGCATAAACTCCATCTTCTTATGCCTTCTTATGCCTTTTCATTACCTCCTAATAAAGAGCAGGACCATATAATACTGAAACAAATTCGCTAAATATTTTATTTTTGTCTCATGAGGATGCTTTCGCATCTAGCTATTGTGAATTAAATTGATTTGGAATTATTTAAAACGGCAATATGAATAATACACAGACCAATTCTGATAAAATATTAACCTCTGAATATCTTGATTGGTATGCCAAATTAACTGGTTTGCCAAGTATCTTAACGGATAAGATTTGTTCCAAGTTATATAAAAGATATAAGAAAGAAACTGGGCTCGACCCCTGGATAAATTCCAAAACGAAGATAAGTGTATCAAACAAAACCCGAGAGGCAGAGCCTTGTTACTCCCGCAACACCCCAATTTCTGGGACTAATCCAAATAAAATGGAATGTCTTTATAAATATGCCATTGAACATGGGAGGATCCTGAGAAATTTTCAATTGTTACTGAAGCTGAGAAAAATAGGTGGGCCATGGAATGCTTCCGTAATGACTTGGAAAGCGATATACACTTTTATCAAGGTGCATTAGAGAGAAAGGAAGACCCTAGAAAATATCATAAATTTTTAACTGATCGGGATAGGCTGATAGGTGAAGAATTATTACATCGTGGTATATTAAAGAGTGGTTTAAGTACTGCATGGCTTGATGATCTTATGAAAGAATGGGAAAAAAACCATACTCAATTCATACAAATTTTTAGCCAGGCCTAGCTAGACACGAAGTGACCTGCTTTGCAATAATTATACTATTTCGAAGAAATAACATTCTCAATTTATTGATATATAAAAAAACATTGCTGAAACAACATCATACAAATGAAAAAAATATTGGCGGGAGTTCACATTTGATCTAACATTTCTTGTCGTTGACCAGGATTCATATAATCATTGTCATCATTTTCCTCATCCCTTTCTAATTTTTCTCTTGAAAGATTTTCCCAGTATCTGCCATTATGGTCATCGTCTTCTTTAGGATCATAGGTCGAATCTAATTTAATGCATAGAATACACAGACACAGTCCGATAAAATGAGATTTAGTCTTGCTAGTTTAACTAACCACCTTGCAACTGCCTTCAGCAATATGTGAAGAACAATTTTTAACAAAAGACACCTACCAAATCCGTCTTTCTTGTTTTTGTCATAGGTTTTAGATGATTTTGGTCTAGATGATTTTGGTTTGGACGATGTTGGTTTATTAGGTTTGTTAGCATTAGGTGAATTGGAATTGTTAAGATTGAAAGCATTGGAATTATTAGTATTGCTACTCATTTTGCACTTAAATATAAAAATTCATAATTAGTGGAATATCACTTTCTTTTCTGTAACGTAAAAGCCCAATCTGTATAATAATACAATACCTCAGAAATAAATTGCGAGTATATTAAACAAATTTTTTCAAAAAAAAAAAGAGAGCAATGTTATTGATAACCCACCTCACGAATCCGGTTTATTTATATGTCTCATTCGCTAAATCTAACCTGATATAAGAAAAAATTACATGATTAGTAATTACGTTACCCAAACCATTTGCCAGATGAGTCAGAGACTCTGTACTTCGTGCATCCTTTCTTCGTAAAGCAAGTCAGGTCACAAGCGCCAAGCACTAAATATATGAGCCATAGACTATATTTCGCCTTTTATGGGGAAATTAAACCTTCCAGTCTGGCGATCTCTCATTCAAAGTGTAAAATAAGACAAATTTCAGCGATCTCGGATCTCAAGTTCCATAACATATGAATTTTGATATTATTACTGATAAAGAACAATAAACTCTCCTCATTCATATCATTTTTGAGTCTCATTTGTATTTTTTCTTATCGGTAAAGCTATATACAATAAGGAAAGGGCTTTATTAATTCCATAATCTATAAATATAGCGAGAAAATAATTTAGCAGTATCACAAATTAGTCTTGTGGAACAGTTGAATAATCAATTATAAATCGTTATTTTTTTTTTGTTTTCTTCACGAAAAATAAACCTGGTTCTATCATTATATCAAACAAAAATGAATTGCAATATTATATACTATAAACTTGTTAAAAATCGTATATAAGTCTTATAACCCTTTATCGTTATAAATTATAATCGCTAAATATGTTTGGTTTTGAAATTATCTTAGATAAAAAAGATAGAACTTTACCTAAACCTATTAATAATAGACCAGGATATGATATGAAATATATTATGTCATTAATCTCCCATTATTATGCATATAGTGATAAACGATACAAGCAACTCTTTGATACTGAAAGATTATACGATACATTATCAGTTATTCAACCCAATGAAACTCCACAACAATGGGCTATTCATGTGAGAGTTCTTTTACAAGAGCTGGTCTCTGAGAGGAAAAGGAGCGTTTACCATGAACACTGTTTATTTGGGGCATTTGGAAAGTCTAAGCTAGTCGATTATGACTATTACAGACCTAGGATTCATAAAAGTTGAATGGCAATCTGTATATATTGTATGAAGCTTACTCGGATTAATGATGTGAAGCCTAGGAAATCATTTCACTATAGTTGGCAAAGATTTGTGGAAATTGTTGAATCTGAAGACCTGATGCAGTATCATTGGGATCATGAATGCGATAAGCCTAAAACTGATTTTGGGCATGCAAGGATTATACAAAATGCTTGGAGAAATTATAAAAGACCCGAATCATTAGCATCTCAAATCTGGAATGCTGTAAGAAATGATAACACCCCCAATGATAAGAAATTTTTAGGTCTAACTGCACGTGAAGTGAAAAATCCTCAAACTCGAGATCAATTCAATCTCTGGATTGCTGAGAACCTTGCAATGTATAGACATTACCCTAGTATGTACAACATCTTTCGTGGTAGAGAATATAAAGAATATTATATTCCATATGATTGGATAGGAGATAAGAAATACCAATTAAATAATAGATTGTATAAGCATGTTGTAGATTTGCTAAGAGAACGAGGTTACAGAATAGTTAATAGCAGACCTTGGTATGAAATGATAAAATGGGCAGATAAACCAGATAAATATCTTAACAACAAAAATTTCGTCAGAATCGAATAATACGTCACAACTATTTTACATTGATAGTTTGACAATCAACATTTTTAATGGGGGTTTTTTTTGTGCCAGATTCCCATGTAAACCGAAAATATTGTTACTTATTAGATTTTGCAACATCTAGATTTAATGTCATCAAACTAATTTGGCTAAGTTCATAGAACATCTACATCGTGCAAATATGGTCAGTTGATGTCTTGTGTGACTATATGCAGGGATCCCTAAAATTGGATTAACTGCACATGGTTTAGATTCTTAAAATCATGCATATTTCGATTTTTTCCCATATATTACTATTACTATTACTATTAGTGTCAAAAATATTTATGGATCTCTTCAGATATGGTCAGGAAATTTATTTTTTAGCATGACTCTAGCACGACTCTAGCATGACTCAAGCATGAGTGTATCATTTTTCATATAACTATATAGAAAAAATTCTAGCGCGACTCTAGCTCAACTCTAGCTCAACTCTAACACGACTCAACTACATTTAAATCTATATATTTTTGCATACAAACTCGTTCCATACAACACAAAAACCCCTAGTGTAGATAATGTATCGATACCTAATATATTTTTACACATCCACTCTAACTTCAAATACGGCAGGATTCGATCATCTCAAAAATATGAGTGGCAGATAGGATGTATGATATATTATATAGACTGAAATATCAGGAAAAAAAAATAAATTATACTTCCGATACTCAAGTGCTAATTATGTATATTACAACGATTTGTAGGTACCTCTTCTATTGCATCACCATCATATCTTTATTATGCGGTCAATAACTTGATCTCTTTTTCCAGATCTAGAGGATTCATCCATCCGACTCTGATGGACATAGGATCAGAGATTGGTACAGTGGTGTCGAAGACAATGAATTCACGATTTCGCAAATAGTTATTGATAACTCTAGAAGCTTTGCGTGGATCTTTTTCTATGTATTGTCTTATAATTCGTGCAATATCTTCTGTAGAACCCCCACCATCAAATAATACAAGATGGGTTGAATTTTCACGAAGGATTTTTGGCATTTGAGTGAATTTATGTGAAATATATATTGCGGAAATATTGCTATGGCGACCTCTGGTAAAAAATGGGATGATACGATTTTGAATTGACTGGGGTTCAGTACACACATCCTCAAAAATATATACTGTACGTCTTTTTGGATTTTTGTACTGTTTCAGATCTGGGATTTTATCAGGGGTAATTGCAGTAAATGTAACGTCCTCATAGTACGGTTTGGAAGGATCTGCTATTTTCTTATAGAAATTTCGAAGTAATCGATATTTGGGTTCATTGGAATGGCGACTTACTAATACAATATCATTGCAACGTATATGACGTTCACCAATTTTCTCTGATTTTTCTTTGAGATCATAGTATTTATCTCCGGAAAATAGATATACCACCATATTGGTTTTACCAGTGTTTGATCTTCCAAAAACCCCTATATAGAATGGCCACTTTGGGGCATCTTCATCGTCTAAAGATTTTTTTGGTGGTTTAACTTCGTCAATATGATATATATAATAGTACTTCATTCTGGTATCAATTTCAACTATATCTTTACAATTTTTTTTTCCTTTCTAATATACATAAGTATAGACATGTCTAATCTTGTAGAAGCCCAAACTTATGCTGAAAAACGTGGAGGAAAATGTCACATCCAAACTGGACCTACAACTTTTTTATTCTCATGTCATAGGAAGCATTTATGGGAGAGGCCAATAGAAGCTATTACGAAGGGGTATGACTGGTGCCCCCTATGTCCTCATTCGAAAGGGGAACGTACATCAAGGTATATATTTGAAGACTTGTTAGGAAAAGGATTTCCACCATCCTGACCTAAATTCTTAGAAGGATTACATCTTGACGGTTATAATAAGGAATTGCAACTGGCGTTCGAATTTAATGGCCAACATCATTACTATCTCGTTCCAAAACATTTTCATCCCAATGGCCAGATTGATCTGGATAATCAAATCAAGCGGGATCAAAAAAAGCGGGATCTATGCAAAAGGGAAGGTGTATGCCTCATCGAAATACCATATTTCGCAGATATCGAATCTTTTATAAGAGAAGCTTTAACCAAGAACGGCTATCTC